GTGAGCTCATGGGACTGGACCCCGTCCGCCTGACCCCTGTGGAGTCCGCCAAACCCGCCCGGCCTGCCGCTTCTGCCTCGGCGATTCTCAGCTGGTTCTCGTTCATTTCAAGGGCAGCGGGAGGAATCTGCTCTTAAAAGAAGTGGTTGGGGGGGGGGAGGGATTTATGGAATAATTATCGCTCTGTCCTCAGGCTCACTCTCTTTATGGCGTCCTCTGGCTACCAGCAGCATCCCGAAGGCTGAGGCAGCTTTAATTGTGCTTCAGTGCTGATGCCAATTAGTCTGGCTTTTCCTTTATTTTTCACCGCTGGGGAGAACCTTGTGTGCTGTATTTTAAGCTATTTTGTGATGAGGAGCAGCTAGTAATACAGAAATGGGGTGAGCAGAACACTTGACATTTGAGGAATGGCTTATTTTAGACTTGGGCGATGTCACCCTGTGCGTTTCCTTGTTGGCCACCTTCTCTTGGTGCCGTCCCATGTTTGCCATGGTCAGCGGCCGTCTGCGGAGACCTGATACCCAAGGCCTTATGGGGGCTCTTCTTACAGACTAGTCCAAAATTATCCAAGGAATATGGCGACGACGAGAGAAATTCGATCTTCCTTGATCTGTGCCAGTTGGGCCGCTCTGAGTTTCCTGGAGAGACACGGCGCCGTTTGGAAGCTGGCGTTCCTAGGATGGGGGGTGTCAGTCGTGTTGGCGCCCAGCCTTTGCCGCGTGGTGAAAGCGCGAGGAATGCTGCGGGAGGCTTTTCGTTACCTACGGCCCCCGAGTACCCCCCCCCCCTCCCCACCCAGGATCGCCCAGCGACGCTGGACTGAAGAGACACTTTCAGCTCCTGGATCCTCTTCGTTAATAGGCTCCACCGCCCCTCCCAATCTACAGCTAGTCGTTTGACACTCGCCTGTCATTTTCTCTGCATTCCTCCCGTAAATCTCTCTCTGTCTCTGTAGAAACGTCACGCTTGCCTGGTAAAAGATGAGCTTGAGGCTGAAGTGGTGATGTGACGGATTGGGCCGAAACCATGTCTTGGCACCGCGCCGCCATCGGGTTTCCGGAAACGGGCATGAGAGAATACAGACGCCAGGCTGGGTATCAGCAGCTTATCTGGGGTCTGGATGGATGAAAAGCTTCTAGAAGGTGCCCCAGCAATCCTGCCTTTGGGATACCCAGTAGCCGAATTATCCCGAGGGTCATCAGACAGCTGGAACCGGGGCCTAACAGATTTACACACTCCTGCCCCCCCCCCCCCCCCCCATGCCCGGGTCAGGGAGTAACAGGTCGAGGACTGTCTAGGCCACACCTCCTGAGCCCTCAAAGAGAAATGCACCTGATGTCTGGTTATTTATCACCCTGGGGGGGGGGAATTAGGAATTCCAAGCAGCTCCTTAATCCAAGTGCTGACTGAGGCCTGGGATGGGGTCGCCGGGTTCAGCACCAGAGGCCCCAGGCGTGTGCTTACACGACAGGCCGCATGCCTTGGCTGGCGCCCGTTTCTTTTTTTTTTTTGCCTGGGGAAACATTTTGGGCCGTATTTACTTAAAATGGATGTCGCTGATAAGGGCCGGTCGGAGGCCAACACATCAGCGGCTGTTCAGTCACTGGCATGAATGACATTTGGTCAGTAAGGAGCGGCAGGGTTGCTCAAGAGACATTACAAGCCACGTGAATGTAAACTCTGCCGCGGGAAGCTTTCCGGCGTGGCGTGGCGTGGCGTGGCGTGGCGTGGCGTGGCGTGGCGTGGCGTGGCGTGGCGTGGCGTAGCGTGGAGCGGCGCAGCACGGCTGCCCCCGAATGCGTCAGGCTAGTGAGAGGAGGCAGCTGCTGGGGGCTGTGGCTAACTGTTAGCAGCGGCTAAGTGCTAGCTGGTACATCACTCTGGCTTGGGTAGCCTTTTCAATTTCCCACAATGCCGAGCAGGTTGGGGATTCTGAGGGACACTGGGTACAATCCTGGTCTGACTGAAGTTTGTGTTTATTATTATTATTGAATAATTTTGGTGCAGTTTTAGGCCCTATAAAATAAGTATTACCCTTGATAAAATGATTTGTGGCCAACAAATCTTTTCTTTCATTCAGTAATGAAATAATCAGTCACTGGGCAGTTGAGTTAATGTGTTATTATACTAACTGGTAAAAGTCATTGAGGAGTTTGTACTGCGCTGCAAATTCAACTTTACTTTTTTCCGCCTCTTAAAATAAAAAAGAGAGATTCTACGAGCTCAGTTGCTTTTGTGGTTTAGGAATTAAGTTTCACTTCAATCTTCGGAGGAGAAGTGACACTTAATTGGGAGCAGGACATGGAGGCCTGTGTCCTGGTCTGACAGGGACATATCTCACAGCTCTGTACCTGCCAGAGGAGAATATTCCCCTCAGCACTGGCTGCGTGATGACTGTCACGGGGGGGGCGGGGGGGATGGCATTTTGGGCAGGGTTCATTAACCTTGAAATACCTCCCCAGGGGTGACTTTGACCAGCTTCCCAAGAAAACCACACATTCACAGCCCAGTGTCTGTGGTTAATAATTGTTTTTGCCTTATCGAGGCCGGTCTCTCAGCCTTACGTGGAATCTGATCTTTGACCCGTCCTGCAGCGCCTCCCAGAGGGAATTGCGTGGAGGGATTTCAGGCGTTGGCGGGTTATTGGTGGTGGCTGGGGGG